GAGATAAAAGATAATCTTCTGAGACTCTTGGTGGCCCGCTTCCCACCATAGCTATTTCTGTATACTGTAGAGATCACTCCTGGTCTGAAACTTTTGAAAGTGGTTTTTATTTTCCTTTTCATAGTTTTGTTTTTCTTTTCAGTTTACAGCTTTTGGATTCCTCTTTTGTTGATATAAAATGCGTTATTTTTTCTATACCGTGGTTCGTATATGATGTGATATATGAGGTATAAGCGTGAACAAGTATCCATCTGTGTGGCTTATAAACACAGGTGTTTTGATCGAGTTCGTCTTTTGTTTAACCTAACCTTAAGCTAACTAAATACACGGATTTAATAAGGAATTCCGGGTTTAAATCCGGTTTATGTCCTGTGCTCGTATTAAGCAATTTCAGACAAGTGCACTCCATATGGTGGACGTCGGAAGAGTGTAGGATCTCCTGAAGATTAGACACCCTAGATTATTTTGCCTGATTAAATGCTAATATTAACTTAACCCAACCCAACCTAACCTAACCATGTCGCGTTAAGGTGTTTAATCGTCATGTGAAATAAACTGGGGTGTCTAATACTGAGGGTGTTAGGTCATGTAGTGCGAGTTCAGCGTCTGCCTGGTTAGTTGTACGTAAACAAAGAGGTAGAAACTGTTATTATATGCTCTGTGTGTGTGTGTGTGTGAGTGTGTGTGTGTGTGTGTGTGTGTGTGTGTGTGTGTGTGTGAGTGTGTGTGTGTGTGTGTGTGTGTTTATCAACACCATGCGTGAATTCAATCACTAAACAATATATGGCCACATGGCACAGCTCTACTCATCCGACAGTAACTCCACAATTAAAGACGATGAAGGTATCCTTCAGCGCTGGAAAGAGCACTACCATTCAATGCTCAACTGAAACACCGTGTTGATGTCCTGACTACCCATCAGGTCCCTCAGCATCCAGAGCATCCAGAGCTATCCTCCATCCCTGGCTGAGGTAGCAACTGCCGTCGAACAGATGAAAAATAACAAAGCCTCTGCATTCCAGCCGTCTCCACTCTCTCCTGGAGCACATATGGGAAAAGGAGGAAGTCCCCCAAGCTCTTAAAGACGCCTCCATCATCAATATTTATAAGAACAAGGGAGACCGGTCAGACTGTGGCAACTACCGTGGGATCTCGCTGCTGTACGTAGCTGGCAGGATTATCGCCCGAGTCCTCCTTAACAGACTTCTTCCTGAGGCAGAAAACTTCCTCCCAGAATTTCAATGTGGATTTAGACCATCACGTGGCACCACTGACATGATCTTTGGTGCCCACCAGATACAGGAAAAGTGCAGAGAGCAGTGTCGTGACCTGTACATGGCCTTCATCTGACTAACCAAGCCCTTCGACTCGGTCAACAGGGAAGTCCTCTGGCCGACCAAAATTCATCGCCATTGTGAGGCAACTCCACGATGGCATAACGGCAGTGACCTGCACAATGGCACCCAGTCTGAGTTCTTCCCCATCCAAACGGAGGTAAAACAATGATGTGTACTGGCACCAACTCTCTTTTCCATTATTCTTGGCTGCCTTCCTCACTCTTGCCAGTGCCAATTTAGCTGGTGGAGTGGACATCCAGTACCTGATGAATGAACTTTTCAACATAAGACAACTCCAGGCAGGAACCAAGGTGTCGGCAGCTTCCATCACTGAACTTCAGTATGCAGGCGACCTCACCCTCGTTGCTCACTACAGGAGATCCTGAACACATATGTAGATGGATATACTGTACACACTTCGGCCTTGAGGTGAATGCACATAAGCCTGTCCCTGGTTCAGCCACACCCCCACCATCTATGTAGCTTACCGCTTCTACTCTCTAATGTTACCCAGATCAGTAGTCCTCCCCACCCTGCTATATGGCAGTGAGACAGGGGTCACATACTGGAGGCACATCAGGGCACTTGAAAACTTTTACCAACGTAGTCTACGTTCCATCCTCCGAGTTCGCTGGGAAGACAAGAGAACAAATGCCAGTATTCTTGCTGACACCAACTGTAGGAGCATCGAGGCTACCATTATCCATGAACAACTATGCTGGACTGGCCATGTTACCCACATGGACGACAGTAGACTGCCAAAGCAGCTAATTTACAGTCGCCTAACGAATAGTAAACGTAACGCCGGCGGGCAACTGAAAAGGTATAAGGATAATCTTAGGACAAACCTGAAAAAAGTGCCCTCACGTGGGAAACGATTACTCCACACCGTAACGCTTGGAGGAGCACTACACAAGAAAGTGTCAGAACTTTCGAGTTAGCCCGACTGCATACCAAGGCAGACAAGCACCAACGCCGGAAAGACGCTGCCGCCGCCTCCACATGGGCCACATCGGCCTCTCGAGTCACCTCAGAGCTCACCAACGAAGGTGACATCCTTAATAACTCATATCAGTGTATAGCTGGATGATCGTAGTGTGTGTGTGTGTGTGTGTGTGTGTGTGTGTGGTGTGTGTGTGTGTGGTGTGTGTGTGCGTGTGTGTGTGTGTGTGTGGTGTGTTTGGTGTGTGTGTGGTGTTGTGTGTGGTGTGTGTGTGTATGTGTGTATGTGGTGTGTGTGTGGTGTGTGTGTGTGTGTTTGTGTGTGTGTGTGTGTGTGTGTGGTGTGTGTTTGTGTGTGTGTGTGTGTGTGTGTGTGTGTGTGTGTGTGTGTGTGGTGTGTGTGTGTGTGTGTGTATGTGTGGTGTGTGTGTGTGTGTATGTGGTGTGTGTGTGTGTGTGTGTGTGTGTGTGTGTGTGTGTGTGTGTGTGTGTGTGAATAATAATAATAATAATAATAATAATAATAATTAACGGTTTATTGAAAAAATTCTGCAGCCCGAAGGCTGAAAATATACATTGGACATAAATGATTTATTACATACATTGGTGGTTAAACAAAAGCCTTCATTAGAGAAAGGTGAAGGAACATACAGTGAACATACAGATTAATGTAGGTGTTGAACAGCAAACTCGTAGTGTAGTAACTCCCTCCCAGATGGTTTTAGGAGGAACCCACGTGGTGTAGTAGTTCCCTCAGATGGTGTTATGGGGGACCTGGCGTGGTGTAGTAACCCCCTCCCAGATGGTGTTAGGAGGAACTCACGTGGTGTAGTAGTTCCCTCAGATGGTGTTATGGGGGACCTGGCGTGGTGTAGTAACTTCCTCGCAGATGGTGTTAGGAGGAACTCACGTGGTGTAGTAGTTCCCTCAGATGGTGTTATGAGGGACCTGGCGTGGTGTAGTAACCCCCTCCCAGATGGTGTTAGAGGAACTCACGGTGGTAGTCTCTCAGATGGTGTTATGAGGACCTGGCGTGGTATTAACTTCCCTCCCCAGATGGTGTAAGGAGTGAACTCACGGTGTGCAGTTCCCCCAGATGGTGCATATGAGACCTGGCGTGTGGTGTAGCAATCTCCCTCCCAGATGGTGTTAGAGGAACTCACACGTGGTGTAGCAGTTCCCAGATGGTGTTATGAGGGACCCAGCGTGGTGTAGTAACTCCCTCCCAGATGGCAAGTTAGGATAACCCATGCAGGTAGTAGTTCCCCAGATGGTGTTATAGGGACCTGGAGTGGCAGTAACTCCCTCCCAGATGGTGTTAGGAGGAACTCACGTGGTGTAGTAGTTCCCTCAGATTGTGTTATGAGGGACCTGGCGTGGTGTAGTAATTCCCTCGCAGATGGTGTTATGAGGGGCCTCACGTGGTGTAGTAATTCCCTCACAGATGGTGTTATGAGGGACCTTACGTGGTGTAGTAATTACCTCACAGATGGTGTTATGAGGGGCCTCACGTGGTGTAGTAACTCCCTCACAGATGGTGTTATGAGGGGCATCACGTGGTGTAGTAATTCCCTCACAGATGGTGTTATGAGGGGCCTGACGTGGTGTAGTAATTCTCTCACAGATGGTGTTATGAGGGACCTCATGTGGTGTAGTAATTCCCTCACAGATGGTGTGATGAGGGACTTGACGTGGTGTAGTAATTCCCTCACATATGGTGTTATGAGGGACATGTGGTGTAGTAATTCCCTCACAGATGGTGTTATGAGGGCCTCACGGTGTAGTAATTCTCTGGCGATGGTGTTATGAGGGGCATCACGTGGTGTAGTAATTCCCTCACAGATGGTGTTATGAGGGGCCTGACGTGGTGTAGTAATTCCCTCACAGATGGTGTTATGAGGGACCTCACGTGGTGTGGTAATTCCCTCACAGATGGTGTGATGAGGGACTTGACGTGGTGTAGTAATTCCCTCACATATGGTGTTATGAGGGACATGTGGTGTAGTAATTCCCTCACAGATGGTGTTATATGAGTGAGGTTTGGTCCCAGGCCTTCCTATCGTAGACGGATTAACACATCGCTGGTTGTTGTTGGGTCTCACGGGCCGTTATCACTGGGTACCTGGGACCTCACTGTGTGAAGGTTAACTTGGGTACGACTGTTACTGTTGAGTTGTTCCCACTGACTTAAGCACTGTTCACCACTGTTCACCTCTGTTTAACACTGGTTCCGTTCCTTTCCTAAATGAAATTGTAACTTCTGGCGAGAACTTGTTGATATTCCGGTGGGGAGGAGGGTTCAGGGGAGGGGGTTGGTATGGGCCAACTTAACAGTTGACCTGGCTGCTCCGAGAGGAGCTCCAGGTACATCTTGACCCTTCTGTGGTCAAGGATGTGTGTGTGTGTGTGTGTGTGTATATGTGTGGTGTGTGTATGTGTGGTGTGTGTGTGTGTGGTGTGTGTGTGTGTGGTGTGGTGTGTGTGTGTGTGGTGGTGTGTATGTGTGGTGTGTGTGTGTGTGGTGTGTGTGTGTGTGGTGTGTGTGTGTGTGTGGTGTGTAAGTGTGGTGTGTGTGTATGTTTGTGTGTTTTTTCACTTCATACATTAATACTGAGGGTAACGACTTGTGTGTTATTTTTCTTTACAGGTGTTGACGGAGACTAATTTACCTCACATAATATTAATCATCTAAATAACAACAATATTTCTTCTCCTTGGCAGGTGTTGAGGTGTGGTGAGGAGGGTGTGGTGACCAGTGTGGTGAGGGGCCATGCTCAAGTGGTTGGTGACGAGGGGCCCCACCAGCCACCCCCCTAAAGAAGTGTTGACCGATGACCCTTTGGCCACTCTCAGGGTCAACCCCAAGGCCAGCGAACACCACATATATGCTGTGTCTAGGTGGGTCATGTAGGGTGTCTAGGTGGGTCATGTAGGGTGTCTAGGTGGGTCATGTAGGGTGTCTAGGTGGGTCATGTAGGGTGTCTAGGTGGGTCATGTAGGGTGTCTAGGTGGGCCATGTAGGATGTCTAGGTGGGTCATGTAGGGTGTCTAGGTGGGTCATGTAGGATGTCTAGGTGGGTCATGTAGGGTGTCTAGGTGGGTCATGTAGGATGTCTAGGTGGGTCATGTAGGGTGTCTAGTTAATAATACTTATTATTTTACGTTTCTTATTCTCTTTATTAGTTCTTCTTAGTTCTTAATTCTTTATTCTCCCCTTTATTTCATTCTTTGTATACACTTGAAAGGGAGAAGGGCGTGGAAGGAGAGAGAGAGAGAGGCAATGTGAGGAGGGAGGTAGGGAGGGGTGGTGAGTAAGGGGAGCTAACAGTTAGTTTGTGGTTGGCTAGGTTGAGGGGAGACGGGGGAAGAATGGACGGGGCAGGGGGGGATAAATGGGGAACAGGAATAACATGTGATAACTGAGACCCTTAGGGAAACAGGTGATAGGTGTGTTGTCACTCAGGACTCACTCCATAACACCATATATGACAATGTTTTACTCAACACCAAGAGGGGGAATTCATAACACTTCTTTGCCTATTGAACACCTTCTATTGAGACTTATACTTCAAAACAGTAAACCTATCACCTAGCTAACAGGGGTCACGTGAATCACAATACATTTTATGAAATGGATAAAACATTAAATGTACTCACTGATATATATATATATATATATATATATATATATATACAGTATATATATATATATATATATATATATATATATATATATATATATATATATATATATATATATATATATATATATATATATACATAAATATATATGTAACCGGTCGGAATATCTCACTTCTAGTTATTGTTGTTTTTTTGAGTTATAGTGGATGGTAATGCAGTGGAAGCGCCCCTCAGAGAATACCGAACCAGCTCAAACACAATTACTAAAAGTATTTTCCGTGACCGTGGAAAGCCAGTACCTGTGATTGGGGTTAATGAGACGCACTGGTAAAAGATAACACTTCTATTCCTTCCAACACTACAGACACAATCAATAATGGTACACAAGCCCTAGAGTACTTCTTAGCGTGGCTTATAACACTACAACGGGAAACAAAAGTTATACATGTTATCAAAAAAATTATTAAAAGATATTAATTGTATCTGAAAATAACTACTAATGCAGCAGTACTACAGACACCAGAACGAGGAACTCATCTGAAACAATTCCTTCGTACATCCTACATCACTTAGTGGCACATAAAACATTAACAAATATTACTGGCACCGATGAACATGCCTTAAGGGCGTCCGACAAAACTATAGCAATCACTGAGGAATAGAAATACCGATTCTAGTCTTACTACACAAGAACATGGATCACTCATAGCCTGTCTGGGATGACCCACAAAATACTATAAGCCTAACTGTCCTAACTACCCAGAACCCGAGGGTTGTAACTACTAACCTGCCAAATGGCAGGCATTTACAAGAAACTGAGAAAATCACTCATGACCCGTCAAGCAGGCGGGTGCTCCGCTGTGTTTTCATTTCTCTTTCTAGGTTCAGGAGTCATGAGTGTATTTCTCCACCAACACCCGTAACATGCTTCACCCATAGGTTCAGAATGCACCCGTACTTTAAGGTACTAACAGCCTTTCACAAACTTTTGGAGAGGAACTCCTACGTCCCACGTGTGCAATCAACCATGAGGAGCGTTGATTACACACCTGGACTTGGTTAATTCAACCACATACGCCCAATACTGGGGAGATGAATGTCTCTATGTAACCACTAGACTCCCGGTCCCAGTGTGTGACCTTTCATTCACTCAGTCTGCACTCAGTTTACTCCCAGTACTTCATGAACAGGAAGATAGTGACCGTCTGCTTGCCTAGTTAGGCCAGTTCAGAGTACAACCAGGTGAGCCCTGCCCAGCTGAGGGAGGGGTTCTACTTTCTCGTTAGTAAAATTTTTCACTGACTGACTGAAGGGATGTGGTGTTGTATGAACCAAGGTGGGGAGATATGATGAACCAGATCAACCACCGACCAAAGTGCGGATGCTGGTTCCACGTAGTTAGCCGTCAGGGACACCTGTTCGCCTTGTGCGTTGCCAGCTATACGACCACTAAACACCGACCAGCCACCGGCCAACCGAGTGGGTTCTCGGAACCCTGCAAAAGGAGCACTCTGTTAGCTACTGTTAAAGTCTTCTCTGCCCTTTCTAAACACTGTGAGATCGAATAAAAAAAAACTTACTTGCAACACTGATGAAACGTGCGCGGGAAGGGACGAGGCCACTTGGTCGTTTTCCTTGGCAGAAACGCGTGGATGACATCCGCCTGGGTCAAACGCCTGAGAGCTACTCACGCCGGTCAGCGCCGCATCCCGCAGGGCGTTCGCCTGCCTTCACCCAATGACGTCATCTACCGTGTATTTCTGATAGTTTTCTTTGGGACACGCATAACATATTTAGACTGGGAAACCATCCACAATAACTTTAAATTTTATAATTGTCCTTACGTGGATTGCTGACTACTTCTCCCATCGACAGGCCCGTGTCCGTTTTCAGGGCCACTGCTCTACAATCAGGGACCTTGATCTTGGCACGCCTCAGGGAGGTGTACTCAGCCCTACACTCTTTATTGTTCTCATGAACTCCATCTGCCGCCTCAACGACATCTTTGCTGAGCGCCCTAGACGGTCACATCATAAGCTACGCTGATGATATTCTCCTCCAAATTACTACAGTGCAACATGAACAACCTATACTCTCCACGTTCGCCCGGACCTGTCAAACACTCGGGCTAGTTATCTCACACACTAAAACCAAGTTCATCTCACACTTCCGGCGTCAGACACCACTGACTCTGCAAGGAAATTGAACAAGGACACACCTACAGGTACCTTGGGCTACCCGTGCGAGCCACTACCAGCGCCACCACCTCCGCTGTCTCCGCCCACGTCATCTCACAGTGCCTCCAACGAACGAGGCCCCTCCAGTCCCTCTCCCACGGCCTCAAAGGAGCCTCTGTCAGGGTCCTACGTCTCATGTACATTGCCATCGTCATAGCCGCCATAGATTATGCCTCTCCTGTCCCTGTAGTTGCCTCCCAGCGCGAGAAACAAAGCATAGAGAAAATCCAAAACAGAGCGATGAGACTCATCCTCGGCTGCCCTATGACCACCAGAATAGAAGTCATGCAGCGTGAACTAATCTTGCTCCCCGTCTGCGATCGAATTACTGCTCTCAATGCCATCCTTGGTGTTAAACTTCTTCGCAATGAGCAACCGACTCCCCTGTCGCGCTCACTGAACTCACATCTTGACTCCCTCCTGCGCCGGCCTGCCCTCTCCCTCCCTCTCTCAACACTGGCCCGTCCACACTGCTGCTGACATCCTGTGTTATCACCTCTACACCCCCTCGACCTCTCTCCCTCCCGAGTACACTCATCCGCCTCTACCGCCGTGGACTTCCCCGAGTGTTGATGTTGTCGTCCACGCCTTCCCTGGTCGTAAATCCACCCAACTGCGGTATATGCTCAAACGTAACTGCCTTGAGCAGATTAATGATGTCGCCTCCTCTCTTACGACCTCCCTCCCTCCTATCCTCGTCTACTGTTATGGGTCTGTTACCACGCTTGGCTGCGCTGGGGCAGCTGTGTGGATTCCTGAGCGCCAGGCCTGCAGGAAAATCAGGGTCCACGACTGGGCCTCCTCCACTGACACTGTACTGTAAGCATAGCCATCCTCGCGGGCATTCATGAGGGGGCGACCTATGCTCGCACTGAACGCCGGAACCTCCTTATAATCAGTGACAGCACTTCTGCGCTAGCGAGGCTCAAATTACCCTCCCCTTCCTCCCCTGCCGCCCAACACACCCTAGCCGCCGTCGCCGGATTAGAACAAACTGATGACATCCGTGTCAAGTTTATTTGGATCCCGTCACATATAGGAATAACTGCCTGTGACACTGTTGATCGACTTGCCAAAGAAGCTACACAAGAAGAAGATTTTGAAGCCACTCTCGCCCTCTCCCTGAATCATCTCAAATCTCGCATACACGCTACACAACGAGAGACATTCGACGAAAAATGGACACACCTGAAACAACGGGGCAGCGTCACATTATGCCACTATGACGCTGTAACCGGTGACGACAACCGCCACTACAAAGAGTATCAATCTCTGACTCGATCTCAACAGATTATGTACATGAGACTGCGCCTAGGGTACAGGTACCTATGGGAGTACATTGACAACCCTGAGCCTGGCCGCACTGTTTGTAAACTTTGTGGTCAACCCGACTCTCACACCCTCCTTCACTACATCCTCACTTGCCCTATGACCTCCTCCTACAGGTCCCCAGCCGTTACCAACACCTCTTCCCTCCCTGACCAGATATCCCTCCTCCTAGTGACAGGCCTGGCACTAGGGACCTGCCACATCTTTGCCATAAACAGATGAAATGTACCGGGATCTTCTCCCCCACACACTCATCATTCTGTCACTTGCTGACAAAACCTATGAACCTTCAGGTTTTTACGCCCTTAATGCATGAGTCATAAAGGAAAGCATGAACTTAGCATGCTTCCCAGAAGGGCGCTGTAAACGCTTCTATGCTTCACCTTGCACAGGATGTAAGGGGGTGCCAAATAAACTAGCTCCTCGGGGGCAATCTAAAAAAAATCTAACTCATGACATTGTTCCTTCTAGGTGGGTCATGTAGGGTGAAACTATGGGCAAGTTTCTTTACGTCATTTCCCTCTGTCTACCCAGCAGTAATTGGGGAGCTGGATGTTAATTGATTTGCGATAGTATTCTGGGGTAATGGTTAGCCAGTGCAGTTGCCGAGATGTCCGGTCTTCCCGGACTATTCTTTGCCACCGGGTCATGCACCTCGTTAACTTAGGGTGTGGTTGTTGTGTTGGTGAC